ATCCTGTTGCGGTGTTCAGTTAAGACGTATATGACTTAATGGACCGAAACGTCTTATCTCACTCTTGCCTTCTTTTCTCATATTGTAATCTGTTGTATCCGCGTCATTTGGGTTTACGGGGTCAATCTGGTTGCTGCAATCTGCTTACCGTTGAAACGAATGAATGGATCATGAAATTCTGAGCGATGGACACAGATTCCAAACAAAATGCTGTTGATAAATTCTGTAGGAGAAGCTACAGACTTTTGTAATTGCGGCTTTTCAGGGCAGCAGACAAGGATGAGAGAAAGAAGCACATTCCGATGGTTGATCGTACACCCCTTCAACCGCCACCGATCATCGTTGCCATTGTTGGCCCTTCAAAGGTACCATTCGTGAATTACCCCTCTAAACTTGGGAGCTCAGGGGCGCACATTTTTGCGTAGATTGATTGAACGATACCGAAGGAGCAATTTGCTTCACTGCGCTTCTGTTCTCAAAAATATTTGCCCGGTTGTGCCAGATGTTTTGAAGCTGATTGAACAGCGCCAACAGGAATCTTCAGGGCCCCCGATTGAACGTCAAAGCTGTTTTTGCTCGACTGAGCCAGTTTTTTGTTCAGGCCCCCGTCCCCTTCCAATCTCCTAGCCAGAAATATTCATTGTTTACATCTTTAAAATTTCTCAAACATTTATTTTACAATTTCAATTATTTTTTAAAAAACAGGTCCTGTTGTAGGTCGGCAAAAGTACACTGTTACGATGCTTAGTGAAGCATTATGTTCGTCATACGTTGACCGAAATCCGAGGCCCAATCACAATTGTTACGGGAAAAACACGACGTGTGACATTTGTTGAAGTCAGCAACGACCTCAACTCAATGATTGATATTGCAAAAGTTGCCGATTTGGTATGTTTTTGACGATTCCCGCTCCCAACCCGCATGCCTAGTTCGGTCTGTGTATACAGCTAAGGAATGAGAAACACAGACTTACGAGACAGTAAAATGTCCTTTGGCACATGACACTTAAGACCAGTCCTTCCATTCTGCTATTTGATAGTCTTCTTTGGCATAGAGGCTATTTAATTTCATCTTCTTTTTTGACCAAAAACCTCTTAACACCACCTAAACTCTCTTGTTTTTATTTTCTCGCCATCCATTTCCTTATTGTAGTAGTGTCTTGCACACAGGTAATTAAGCTGATGCGTTGCTTGCCCGTGCATCGCCGGGGCGATGTTGTGTTTAAGGCGTATATGACTTAATGGACCGAAACGTCTTATCTAACCTTTATCCTCTTCTCTCGGACTTCCAAGGTCAAATTGGTTTCTACATTCTGCTTACTTGTAACGGCAATAAGTTCTGACATGAATTTTTGCCCCCCCC